TCAGTCGCTATTCTGGAGATTACATCAGATTTTCTACATAGATGATTAGGTTGTCTGCTGATATGGCTGTTTTCTTTTTTCTTTCCAATCTGGATGCTTCTTTGTGATCGACTTCTCTCCTCATAACGGGATTGGGTTTTCCTGCTGCTTTGCATACCTGGTAATGTTAGATTGGATGCCAGAGATTGTGACATTTTACCTTGGGTGATATTTGTTTCCCAAAATTCTTGATCTGTGTTCTGGGTTCTGTTTAATTACATGCCAAAAAAAAAAAGAAAAACAAGTACGATGATTTTTTAGAGTTATACAAACATTAGGAACGCTTACTAGTGACCACAATGTTAAGTGTATTTGATCTTCCACGCTTGATGTCAAGGCAAGGTTTTTAAATATCCTAGTATTTGACTTGCTCTCAATTTAGCATTTGAGATGTTTATAGATATTGTAGTTAATGATGTTGACTCATACAAAGACAGTGTGTAACTTCCAAAAGAAAAACGTGCAGTTTTAAATAAGTATAGACAGCAGTAGTCCTCAACCTTGACACACAATAGAAACCTGTCACTAAAGAGGGAGGGCCACTTTTTAAAAATGCAAATACATGAGTCCCTCCTCTCCAGACCAACTGAGCCAGAATCTTGGGCATGGTGGGAGCAGAAGAGATCCCAGAAGAGAGCCCCGGGGTACCACAACATGGGGGGCGGGTTGATGAGGATTCAGTGAAAAAGACTGAGCAAGAGTGGCCAGTGAGGTAGGAGGAAAACCAGGAGAGTTGGTTGTTCTTAAAGCTTAGGGAAGGATCTGTGATTGGTCAGATACTGCTGATGGGTTAGTGCGGTGTTCAGTGTGATAGTCAAACGTCCAAGTGCATCCGGTGTTAAAGCCTCCCTCAGCCCGGTCCTGGAAACTTGTAATGAGATTGGCCTCCTACTCCAGGTAGCTGGTCTCCTTAGGCAGGATGTGGAAGGGCTCCAGGCTGGTGCTACCCCATGTGGCCCACCTCTACTCTAGTTCACAGAAGAATGGGAACAGCTCAGCCTGTGTCTCTGCCCTGCTGTCTTAGGCCGTGAGCCCAGCTCCCACTTTCAGATTCCTTGGGACACATCAGACACTAGATGTCCCCTTTGGCCCTTCAGTTCCAGGAAACACTCAACAGGTCCCGATTGGTCTCCTCGAAGCCCCTCTTACTAGATGTATTAATCTCCTCAGGCTGCTGTAAGAGATGACCACAAGCTGGGTGGCTTAAAACAACAGAAAGTTATTCTCTCAGGGCTCTGAAGGCCAGAAGTATGAAACCAAGTGTTGGCAGGGCCATGCTCCCTCCAGAGGCTCTAGGGGAGGGTCCTTCCTGCCTCTTCCAGCTTCTGGTGGCTCCAAGTGTCCCTTGGCTTGTGGCCACATCGCTCCAGTCTCTGCCTCTACCTGTACATGGCTTCACTGGGACTGTGTCTTCTATCTTTTATAAGAATACCTGTCATTGTATTTAGGGCCCACCTTAATCCAGGTGGTCTCCTCTAAAGATACTGCAATTAATTACATCTGCAAAGACTCTTTTTCCAAATCAGGTCACGTTCATAGGTTCTGGGGGGCAGGATGTGGCTAAGACTCCAAAGAATAAGGGGAGGGACTACCAGCGACTGCTGGAGGAAAAGGAACAGAAGAAGGACCTTCTCTTTCCAGAAAGTGCTCCCAAAATTGGCTCAGAAGTGGCCCACACAGTTGAGATGGAGAAGCATTTGCCTTCCACATTATTTTCATTGGCCATATAATATTTCACAGAATGTATATACCATAGCCATTTTCATATGTAGGCCTTTAGGTTGTTTCTAATTCTTTGGTACCTTATTGTACGTTATCAATATCAAGACAAGACCCTCCACCAGCAAAAAGATTATGTATGACTCTCTGAAGGTTCAGATTATGGTTAATATTTTTCGCAATAAAGTATTTTTAATTAAGGTATGTATATTGTTTTTAGACCTACTATTACACACCTAATAAACTACAGTTTACTCTAAACATAACTTTTATATGCACTGGAAAAACAGAAAAAAATTATGTGACTCACTTTATTGCAATATTAGCTTTATATGTGGTGGTCTGGAACCAAATCTGCAACATACCTAAAGTATGCCTGTTTTGACGACCTCATATTGTCATAACAAAATACCACGGACTAGATGGCTTAAACAACAGAAATTTATTTTCTCACAGTTCTGGAGACTCGAAATCTAAGATCAAGATTCCTACAGTGTTGGTCTCTGGTGAGGCCTCCTCCTTGGGTTACAGACAGCCAACTTCTTACTGTGTCCTCATGGCCTTTCCTCTTCGTGTGTGAAGAGAGAAAGAGGGAGCACTCTGTGTCTGTTCCTCTCCTTATACCAGTCCTATTAGATTAGGGGCTCACCCTTATGGCTTCATTTAACCTTAATCACTTCTTTAAAGTCCCTATCTCCAAATACAGTTGCATTAGGGATCAGGATTTCTGTGCTTGCTTCGGCAGCACAGATACTAACAATTGGAACAATACAAGCATTAGGATCTCAACATATGAATTGAGCGGGGATACAATTTGGCCCATAACATACCTCAAACAAAACATTTTCAAAACTTTAAACCTTTGCCCATATAGTAACCAAAATCATATCTCAATATTGGTTTACTTTCTTTTGATTTCTAATGTGGCTTAATAACAATTCGTATGACATTTGGCCAGTGGCATCTCTCCTTCTGAGAACTGTCCATTTATATCAGAGATGTGACTGGAGGAAAAAATGTAAAATTAAAAGTCAGAAAAACCAGAGTGAAACCAAAGACTACATAAGGAACAGGATGAAATTACTTGGATTACTCAAGTCAGAAGGAAAATCTGGTCACCACCTTGCTTTTTACAAAAAAAATAAATTTCCAAAAGAATAAAAGCTTAAATGGGAAAAAATAAAAGCATACAATTAAGTAGAAAATACAAAACCATAGAAATAAAAGGAAAAACTACTGATAAAGAAATGTATGCATCATACAAAACCCAGAAGCCATGCATGAATAAAAATCGAGTTTTAATACAAAGAAATGTTAAGTGTATTTATAGCGGAAAACACAATAAAAGCATCAAATTGGGAATCAATTGGGAAACTTATTTATAAATCAAATAATAAACAAAGCAGGATATAAAATCCAGAAACCAAAAAAATAAAATCAATGTGTAATTACACAAAAATGTTAAATTCTATTACAGAATAAAACATCATAAATAAAATGAAAAGACAAGCACATTAGGAAAAAATTAGTAACCTAAATAGTAAACTAAAGCTAGTATTTATAAAATGAAAATACTTTTAGAAATCAATACGTGAAAGACAATCCAGTAGAAAATTATACAAACGACAGCAACGTGGAATTGATGGAATAAGAATTATAAACAGCCAATTTGGGTGTGATGTGATCTTATTTATCTCAAAAATATAAATGCAAGTTAATATATCCTAGAAAAAAATCGGGAAGAAAACACATAAAACTGTTCATAGTGGTTAGTGCAGAGACTCCGATTATGAGAAGCTTTTACTTTCTAACAAGACACCTTTGTATAAAGCATGAATGATTTTACAATAAACATATCATAGTTGAAAAAATTAATAATATTTAAGCATCCAGAACTTTAAATACATTCTAATTCCAAATGTGTTTCCCTGTTTTAAAAATGCATGCACACACATTTGTAGCTCAAAAAGAAACCTGAAGAGAACCATCAAAATGTTCACAGTGGTTCTCTCTGGGTGGTAAGATTGTGGAGGGTATTTCTTCATTATTTTATGTTTTTGTAACTGCACAACTTATTCAGTGACCATGTTTTACTTCCATAAATGGAAAATAATGTTTTAGAACAAAAAATATGCAACAGAAATATTTGATCTTTGCTGGAATGGGGGAAAACTTGGCACACAAAATAGGATTCACCAAATAGACCATCTACGTTAAATTTCAAACTCCTGTGTGATTGGATTTAACCCCCAAAGCATTAAGCATGTGCCACCCTCACTGTGGAGAAGGTGCATAGCCTTAATTTGATGTGACTAGTGCTTAGGAGTCACTTTCTTTCCCAAGGGCCTTGAACAAAGCCCTCTTTACATCTTTGTTTCGCATACTGTAGATGATGGGGTTGAGCATGGGAGTGAGGACCACATACAGCACAGAGAGCACCCGGTCTCGCAAGCCGGAGTATGCGGAACTGGGAAGAATGTAGCAGAGGACTGAAGTGATATAGAAAATACAGACCATAGTGATATGAGCGCCACAGGTGGAAAAGGCTTTTCTTCGGCCCTCGGCAGAGCGAATCCTAAGAACAGCAGCTACAACGTGTATATAGGAGATCACAACCAGGGTGCAGGGTGCAAGAGCCACCAGAAAACTGAAGAAGAATAGTGCAAGTTCATTTGCTTGTGTACTGGAGCAAGAGAGTTTGAGAAGTGGAGGGAGGTCACAGAAGAAGTGGGTGATGAGGCGAGGCCTGCAGAACTTGAGTAGAGCAGCAAGGATTGTGTGGGTGAGTGAATTGGCCAAGGCAAGAAGGCAGGAGATTACAGCTAGTCCTGTCCGGGTTCTTTGGCCCATGAGGACTAGGTAGTGGAGTGGCTGGCAGATGGCTGCATAGCGGTCATAGGACATGGCTGTGAGCAGAAAGCACTCCCAGGGCGCCAGGAAGTGGAGAAAGAATATCTGGGTTAGACAAGCACGATAGGACATTGTCCGCACTGGTGCCAGCAAATGCACTAGCACCTGGGGCACCGTATTGGAGATATAGGCAGTGTCCAGCAGTGAAAGGTTGGCTAAGAAGAAGTACATGGGAGTGTGGAGTCGGGAGTCTATTACAATAAGGCAGAAAATGCCCAGGTTCCCAACCACAGCCACTATGTAGACCAGCAGAAAGGTGGCAAAGAGCAAGGGCTTCAACTCCTCTGTGTCAGTCAATCCTTCCAGAAGAAACTGGGACACTAAGGTCTCATTCTCCAGCTGTATGGAACCACACACAGAAACTTGCACCTGTCAGCAGAGTCCAGCTCAGAGTCAGATGAGGGTCTCAGTTTGGAGTTCCAACTTACAAAAGGGAGTGGGAGTGAGGGAAGGTCTAGAGACAGAGAAGACAGATTTCAAGCTTAAAGTAATAAGACTCAGAATTGGAGAAATGAGGTCAGGCCGAAGAGGCCAGTGGTAAGGTAGAGGCCAGGGAATGGGAATGGTAAGCCCATCAGGCCCCACACAATAGGAAGTGCACAGACCTTGAAGTCACAGTGCATGTACCTCCTGTAAGGACATCAAAGTCAATCCATCAGAAACTCCCTGAACAAGTGATCCTGGACTTCGTGATTATCTGAAATGGCCTCATTATTTCACCATCACCAACCCAGCAGAATCCCAATTTAGGACCAGCGATAAGATATCAATCGGGTCCCTCCTTCTCTGAACCTTTCAGTGCCTCCCATCTCATTCAAAGTCAAAGCCGAAGTCCTCCTCACAGCCTACCAGGCTTTCTGTGATACGCCCTCCCCTCTCCTCTCTGATCATCAGGCAAGAGGTCTGTCAGCTTCTTGCCCCATATTGCATCTTCCGACTTACAGCAACAAATATCTTTATCTATTTAATGCCTTCGTGGAAGAGGGCTCTGCCCTCCTATGTAAGGCTAATCTCTCTACTGCTCTCTTGTTTTCGATCCTTGGAAATTCCTTTACATGTGTATGCACTAAATGACACTGAACTATTCACTTTAAAATTGTTTACTTTACATTATGTCAATTTTACCTCAATAAAAAAAAAGCAAGATAAAAATGTTTTCAGATATATAAAAATGGAGATAATTTGTTGTCAGCAGAAAACCTGCACTGTAAGAAATGTTAAAGACATTTATCCACAACGAAGGATGATACCAGATGGAAACTTGGATCTACATGAAGGAAGGAAGTGTCCAAGAAATGGAAAATATGTATATAAATATAAAATAATTTTTCTCATTTTAAAATTTCTTTAAATCACAGCAATCTGTTTAAAGCAAAAATATTAATAATATACTGTGGGGTTTATAAATTCTATAGAAATAAAATGTATGACAACAATAGTACAAAGGATATGAATGGGTAATGAAAATATATTGTTATAATGCTATTATATTATAAGTGAAATGATTTTAAATTACTTATATATTATTATATGTTATACATTACATATTATATATTAGAAACTCTAGATCTAATATATATGTGTATGTATATATATATATACATAAAATAGAATTCTAAAAATTACTCAATCTAAAAGAAGTCATGAAAAGATGGAAAGAGGAACAAAGAACACATGGGAGAAATATAAATAGCAGGATGGTAGATTTAAATTCAACCATATCACTGATTATATTCATTGTAAATGATCTAAATGCTCAATTAAAAAGCAGAAATTGTCAGACTGGATAAAAAGGCAAAACAAAACTATATACTAAGCATAAGAAATCCACTTTAAAAATAAAGACGTAGATATGAAAATGTAAAAAGATGGATAAAGATATGCCATGCAAACTATAATCTTAAGAAATTTTGAGTGGCTATATTAATAGAAGGCCGAGAAGACTTCAGAACAAGGAATATGATGGGACAGAGAATATTTGATAATGATAAAGGGGTCAATTCATGAAGAAAACATAATAACTTTAAATATATATGTATTACAAATAATAGAGTTTCAAAAAACATGAAACAAAACACAGAAAAGAAAGGAGAAATACAGAAATCCATAATCAGAGGTAAATATTTTAACATTCTTCATTTAGTAATTGATAGAACAATATTGCAGAACATCGGACATAGAAGAGCAAATTAAAATCTAACTATGTAATAAGAAATAATGACGATAGGAGCAGAAATGAAAAGAAATTTAAAATGGACAAATGATAGAGAAAAATCTATGAAACTGAAAGCTTTCATAGATTGCATGGCATATCTTTATCCATCTTTTTACATTTTCATATCTACGTCTTTATTTTTAAAGTGGATTTCTTATGCTTAGTATATAGTTTTGTTTTGCCTTTTTATCCAGTCTGACAATTTCTGCTTTTTCCCTGGTTATACTTTTTATAAAACTTATAAAAAGTATAACCAGGGAATATTAGGAGCAATATTTATGAACAAATTTGCCAACTTAGATGAAATGGACAAACTCCTTGAATGAACCAAATTACTAAAACTAACTCATGAAGTAGAAAATTTGAATATCCCTAAATCTATGAAAGAAATGGAACAGAAAACTTCAGGCTCACATGAGTTTTTTAGTGAATACTATCAAATACATAAAGGAGAAATATTACCAGTCCTATACAGATTCTTTCAGAAAGTACAGGAGGAGAAACACTTTGTGAATCATTTCATGAAGCCAGCAATACCAAAACCAGATGAAGATATTGTAAGAAAAGAAAACCATAGACCAATATCCTTTGTGAAGTTACACAGGAAAAAATTAATGAAATATTAGCAAATTTAATCCAGCACTATATAAAGAGGATGATATATCATGACTAAGTGAGATTTATCCAATAATAAAAGATTGGTTTTACATTAAAAAGTGAATCAGTGTCATTCATCATATTAATAAAATAAAGGAAAAAATATGATCATTTTTAATAGATGCAGAAAAAGCATTTGGCAACATTCAACAACCATTCATGATAAAAAAACTCTCAGAAAATTATGACTAGAAGGAAACTTTCTTAATCTGATAAACGAAATCTATAAAAATCCTATAGCTAACGTGATAGTTAACAGTAAAAGAATTCTGTTCAATCTTGTCTTGGAAATCCTAGGCAGTGCACTATGAAAGAAAGAGAAATAAAAGACATACAAATTGGAAAAAAATGAAATAGAATTATCTTTATTTAGAGATGACATGTTTGTATGTGTAGAAAATCCTATCTTCAAAAAAGAAAAGTGAAATTTTAAAAATCACTATCATTTATCTCAAAACATGAAATACCTAGTGATACATTTAATAAAATATGTCCAAAACCTTTATAGTAACAACCGAAAACTGTTGATTAAAAAAATTAAAGAAAACCTACATAAATGGAGAAATATGTCATGTTCATGGATTGGAAGACCCAGTATTCTTAAGATGTACATTCTCACCACACTATTCTATAAATTCATTGCAAGCTCAATAAGAATCCTTATTTTTACAAAAATTGACAAACTGACTCCAAAATTTATATGGAAATGCAAAGAACCTAGAATAGGAAAATCAAACTTGAAAAGGAAGAATAAAATTGAAAGATATAAGGGTGACTAAAAGAGAATAATAGACAAAATGGAAAGCTCATATGTTGCTGGTAGGAATGTAAATTGGTACAACCATATTGAAAACCAGTTCTTCAGTTTCTTAGAAAGTTAAACTTAAACTTGCCATATGACCCAGCAATCCCATTTCTGCTATTTACCCAAGATAATTAAAACCATATGTTCACACAAAGACTTGTACATAAATTTTCATATCAACTTTATTAATAATAAACCAAATTTGGAAACAACCCAAATGTCCATCACCAGGTGAATGGTTAAACCAATTATGGCAGATCTGTGCAATGTAATACCACCCAGCAATAAAGAAGAATGAACCACTGAAACATCCAACAACTTGGATGAATCTCAAAATAATTATGCTAGGTAAAAGAAGGTGGACTCAGAAGAGTACATGCTGTATGATTCTGTTCAAATTTAATTCTAAAAAAGGCAAATCTAATCTATTCATTGTTTGGGGGCAGAATATAGAGGAGGGAATTGACTGTCAAGAGGCGCAAGGGGAATTGTGAGAGCGAGGGAAATGTTCTATTTCTTCATGTTGAATTTGTTGTGTATACCTTTGTTGTAACTCATAGAACTGTATACTTAAAATGTGTGCACTTTTCCATATGTACATTTTGCCTCAACTAAGTTGAGCAAAAACAAAAAAGAGAAGGGATGAACAAAAAAATGGTAGCATTAAATCCAACCATATCAGTAATTATATTAAATGTAAATTTG